GCCGGACGACAGATGCCACTACCCGCGGGTTGTTGTGGTGACGGAGACCTCGCGTGGGGTCTACGAACACTTTCTAGGAATTGCGAGTATCCTGCGGGCTGCGATATCATCAGCGTAGTTGACTTGCGCAAACCGACGTTGACATAAAATTTCAGTAACCCTGTGCAACCAAATGACGTATTTAGCAAGCTCACTTAATATTCCGTACATCTTCATAGCTGCAAATCGCGTAAAGTCACTTGACTTATGAATTCATCCTTCACCCTTGAGCTCCCCATTTATATTGGAAATGGGAAGAGAAATAGGTTTTACGGCAGTGATTCTGATTCACTATGTGTGGGCCAGGAGCCTGCCGCCACCACGAGTGCAATCTTGATTATGTGTACGGTTGGTTCCTGGCAGATGCACACCCCATCTGGATTTACACGCCGTAACAATGTCTGAAAGCACCACCGAAACAGTCAGTCTCCTTCAGGCCTAAAGTCTCTTTGCCAAAAGTCGTTTCCTAGAACGTTCATAGGGGCCAACTTTCTCCGCAAACTACAAAGGGTCGCCACACATGCGGTCCGTCTTAGCCAGTTCGAAGACGTTCTCGAAGTCTAAGACACATTTGCGGTCTCCAACAATCCGGTAGGCCTGAATAAGAAGCCTGTAGATAAAACGGATTAATTTCTCCCAGTCTGGCTTTGTATGACAGATCGCCAAGGCTTTTGCCGCCTACGTAGCCCTCACCTGGACTCAATGGAACAGTTGATACTCCCTCTCGAGTCACGGACACTTAACCTCAAAGCATACAACAAGTGAGACGAACATATGCGTCGAATGTTTTGCCGAACATTTCTTGACCAACCTGCAAAATGTTGTTTGCAATGTGAAGAATAACTTTGCTGCTCGTTTAATTGCGTTAAAAAACTGACGATTGTTTAAGCCACAAGGTCATTTCCGTTTAGTTCATTCCAGCTTATTGAGGCAAGTATGCGTGTGCCTTTGTGTGCCTTATTTGCACTTTAAAACTTGTTTATGTTTTTTTCCAGTGTTCAACGGAGTCTGAAATGCTCAAGAGATGCAATAGATGACCTATTCCACCGTATTCTCTTTAAGGTGATACCATACTAACAGCACAGATGATAGCCAAATGCCCACACTCGCGCGTTTCGCCGATATTCTGCCTCTGCATGGCGCAGCTGCGAGGGTTTCGGCTCGTCAGTGTGTCCCCCAGCATTGCCTGCCTATTTTCCGGTATATACTCCAATTTAAAAATTGTCACTTTTTTAATTTCCTCAGAAATTATCTACGAACTTGGAGTAGATCAGTTTATTCAAGGTCTATGGGCTCAGGCCAAACGGCAGAATATCGGCGAAACACGCATGTATGGGCTTTTGGCTAGTTCCTGTGCTGTTACTATTCTATCACGCTACCCTAAAGTAAACTACTAGCTGTCTGTCGACAGTTACTGAATATTACGCGATTACCAGCTGTGGCTGACGGACTTCGACCCAAATATCCATACATATGATTATCGGCCTGAGCCTATAGACCTTGAATAAACTGATCTACTCCATCTTCGTAGATAATTTCTGGGGAAATCAAGAAGCGACAATATATTCTGTGTATTGTCTACGTGATTAACTAGGTGTTCTAGTGATCCCGGTCGACTTTCATAAAGTAGACGTACTGATCTGCCGACCAGTGTAGAGACGCCACGCCTGGACGTATTATTCTAACGACGATCGGACAAACGTTTAAAACACGCGACCAGAAAGTTCTTTGTAAAAGTAGTATGTGGATCTCCCACTCACGCCCAGGATACCCATGGCCTTTTTTGACATTTTGGCACAAACCCAGGCCTCATACTTCGTTAACTGATTCGGTGACCTTCGATAAAGTGGTAATATTCTAATCTTATCGTCTTGCTGTTGCATAATCGTTATCGAATAACTGAGCATTTGTTACATTCGAGGTTTAGGAGCCACTCATCATATAATCACAGCAAACGATCGAGGTCATATTACAGTTTTCGAGCATATTCAGACCCTTCTACTGATTTTCGCAACTTCGGCTCATCGGAAGAGGCGTCTGCAGTGTTTTATGCAGACATATATTGTCCAAAGCCGACTATGGGAATGACGTTTGAACGTTTCTCCAGTTTATACCTGATTTGTTGAAGTTATGGCTTGTTCCATAGTGGTTCCTGGGCTGCATGAGCAACTTTCGTTGTCATTATTATTGCCGGTTGATCCCATGGAAAAGCCGCGTTCTTCTGAACGTCCTCCCCGTGAAGATAATCAAGTTGCGTTCGCGACCATCAAATCATATTTTTATTTCCAAGGTAAGGTACCGGCATTTCATACCTCCAGGTGAGGAGTTGTTCGTTTAAAAAACCTCTACGAAATTTCCGGAGATTGTCGTTTCTAAGTAAGGTTAGTTTATTTTCTCTCTACTCTTCGGCAAAATTTTGAGCGATCGTGGTCGCAGTGTTCCGGCCCGATCTCCCCCTATTTTACCGTTCCGGAAAGCTCTCAGAAATTTTGACCGCACCCCTGGCTGGAGAAGGTGGCTCATGCTGAAAAAAAGGAGCAATATAGAAATAATATAAAGATATAGAAGATGGGGCAGGGCAAATAATGGATGGGGACTGAAGGCAAAGCCCATAATCCTTACCGTTCAACGGTTCTTGCCTTGCTCGTTGTAT